TATCAGAGTCGGCAGCATCAGTGGAGAGGAAGCAGGTGGCGATGGGTCAGAAGATCTCTGCGAGGGGCTGAGGAGACAGATGGAGGAGGAGATTAGGAGGGGCAAAGAGGTGTCTTACTGATAAAATGAAAAGGCAGGCGAGAGAGGGGAGACAGAGACACGCAGAGCGACTGTCCACATGAGGAAAGCAACAAAGTTCCTCACAAAGATTGTGAAAATCCTCTCGGATGACACTCTGGGTGGCCTGCACCTCACGAGGGACCAGGTCAGGTAATATTTTAAGGCTAAGGCTGGAAATATTCCCTGGCAACACTTTTTGTTTCTCTCGTCAAGTCCCGGGAAAAAGACTGAATCCAGGAGATGCGGACCCTGTAACAGGGGTCTGCACACGGCAGAACCTTAAAGGAAGCGGAGCAGTGATCACTGGGTTGAATTACAATACCAGTGCATGTGGTTCACAGATGTTTTTAAAGGACAGCAAGAGAAATCTGGGAAATCAGACTTTTTCACTTAAGTTGGTGCAAAGTTTAGGCCAGCCTTGATATTTTACTACTGACCCACTGAACCTCATGCTCCACAGCTTCACCTGGTTTCATTCTGAGATGTGTTTACAGCTGAGAATACAGTAGGTGTGTTAGGTTCAAGGGCTTTTATAGTGTGTGCGTATTTTAAAAAAAAGGTTATGCAGGGATGATGGGAGCGTGCAAGAGGCACACTAAACAACTTGAAACTTTAGCAAAGAGTAAAGCTCAGCATTAGGAGATGTGGCTACCCCGATCAGGTATACAAGAAGTTATTTAAAGTTTTCATGCAACTTTTTGTCACTCTTCTTTAATCTTCGCTTATTTTGCCTCTGAGATCCTCTGGGGTTTGGGACTCTGCACATCAAATGAGACGTTTTGAGGAGAAAGTCTTAAATACTCCGAGGTTTCTGTGTGTTCAGTTTGTAGAGGGTCGCAAAGCAAGGTCACAGCCAAAGACTTGAAAGCCACATTTGCTACACGGTTTACTACTTATTACTTAGATGATTTTTTTTTCCACCCTAACATTCAGTTGTATACGACATCAGTGCATCACTTTGTACCTATTTCCTGGCAAAGATCCATGAATAAGATCTACTCTGTGTTTCCCGAACCTTTCATCCACACGTCTCACCTTTCCCCGGTGGATGGAGTCGCTCAGCTGTCAAAGAGACATTTTAGTTTGCCGTCGCATAACCCAGACGAAGATTTGAGGGTCCTGTGATAACAGGCGGTCATGCATGTCCCTGTTCAAGGATGGTCTCAGGTGTCCGATGTGAATGACTGCTTTTTATTTTCGTCCAGCCATCCAGGACCTCTCGCTCGACGGCTTTGATCCCTCCCCAGTTGAAAGTGATGGAAAAAAAACCCAGACTTGCAAGTTCAGAGTGGGCGCTGGGGGACGAGAGAGTGAGATTTAGGAGTGTCGTTTCGAACAAATCTCAGAAAAGACAGAGAGAAATATTTTCAGCTCTATTTCCCTGCGCTATGGGAGGATGATGTCCAACAGCGCTGGAAAAATCAAGTTTAATCTTACATGAAACATGAGGTGAGGGCATAAAACACCCACCCAGCCAATAATTATGTCGTTTTATGGCAACCATGGGTGGTAATTAGGGGACAAAGCGGGCCGGATTCCCTGTCTTTTCCTTCTAATGCAACATTGTAAATATAACTGTATCATGTTAAATAACAGCTGGAATAGGATCCGGTCACCCTGTGACCCTGGACTGGATAACTGGAAGGAAGTGGATGGATGAATGGATGGATGGATGGATGGATGGATGGATGGATGGATGGATGAATGGATGGATGAATGGATGGATGGATGGATGAATGGATGGATGGATGACAGATGGATGGATGGATGGATGGATGGATGGATGGATGGATGGATGGATGGATGGATGAATGGATGGATGGATGGATGGATGGATGGATGGATGGATGGATGGATGGATGGATGGATGGATGGATGGATGAATGGATGGATGGATGGATGATGAATGGATGGATGGATGTTAAATAACACCAAAAATGTACCCTCAAAGCACTTGTTCTTGCAACTACTATCTAACACCTTCACTTTGAAAAGGTGGACGTATGGCAGAGAAGGTGTGAGACAGCATTCTTCACTTTTACCACATGCACATACACATATATCTGAACCACTTACCTGTGCACCACATTTAAGGATCCTAGAAACACCTCTGCCTAAAAAAGCCTTTAATTTGAAAGCTATTTGCATTGGAACTCAATTTAGGTCAATTAGAAGTTGGAAAAATGTTCTTAGTTTGAACTAAAGTGAGAAAAACACATGGACACTGCTTAAGTATGCGAATGCAAGTAGGTGTGGGAGAAGTCGGCTGTCAGGTGCAATTTTTTTTAACGGATCCAGAGTCAGTGCCATCGGTACGTGTGATCTGCTCATCACATGTTGCACAACCCCTCCCTTGCCCTTACTTAATCCCCCTCCAGCCCATGTCTCTTTCTCTCTGTCACAAGGAGACGAGAGGGTGTGTGTGTGTGTGTGTGTGTGTGTGTGTGTGTGTGTGTGTGTGTGTGTGTGTGTGTGAGAGAGAGAGCACGAGAGAGGGAAGCTCACAGGGATAGACGGATGCTGAAGGAAAAAGGAGCTGAGATCTATCATCTGCAAGGCAGGAAGAGGGTGCCATGCTCTGACAACAACCCACATCCTCGTGCACACACACACGCAGACACACACGCATATCAGTACCACCCTTGGTGTGAATTTCATTCCCATCAGGGTGCATGTTTTCCTGTCTGAGGTCTTTGTATTGCTGCCACCGTGGGTGTCTGCGCTTGGTTTGTGTGTTTGTGTATGTGTGTGTATATCCCTAACCTTCCACTGCATGCATAATGTCAACCATGCACTTGGTGTAATTGCTTATGTTGATGCTCACGCGTCATTTTGTGTAAATGCGTGTATAGCACATTATGTGTGCTATGTGGGTGTATGCATGTGTGTGTGTCTGTGGTGAAGTCTGGCAGCTGCGGCAGAGTCACCGGGGAGAAGATGTGGTTGCGAAGAAGAGTTGAAGGTCGGTGCAGTAAATGAGGTCAGCCTGAATAAATGAACACTAATAAACACCAACATCGCAGCTCTGAGTGTATATTAAGCAGATGAATACATCTCCAGAAAGTACATTCTGTTATTCAGCAACATGGCAGATCTGATGTAGGTGGTGTCTTATAGCTCTGCAGTTTTTTTTTTTAACCGAGTCATCTTCCACTCAAAAATAGAGCGAGAGAGCCACAAGCCCGCCAGTTTACCCACACAGATAGATTCCCAGACAGAGCAGAAGGTTTGTTTTTCGTGCCAGCTCCACCTCTGAACTGCCGTTGTCTCTGAACCAGTCTATCTTCCTCCACTACATTTAGCTTTGTCGTGTGCCCTGCCAAGGTTTCTGGAGGTCAGTGCAACAGAAACAGCTCCATCTCTGCTCTCTTTTCTTTTCTTTTTTTTTCATTCTGTGTCTCTGACCAGCTCTATAAAATCTCTCTGCTGCATTTGTTTCTTGTTTGGCTCTCATAACCCTGCAATTACAATCCTCGTAAGAAAGCACGCTGTAATTTCGCACTGCAGAGGGAAACGTCTGCACTTCTGTCTTTCCGAGTATCCCCGGCTGCCTGCGGACCCTCGGTTTGATCGCCTGGAGGTTCACTCAGCTGATGTGCTGCAGTGCCCTTGAGCATGACACTGAATTGAAGTCTGCTGAGCCACAACTTTCCCATAAGTCGCTGCCCTCATTCTTGCTTTCCTCTGTTTCTCTCCCACTTTCATTTCCTTTCTCCTCCCCGGCTGTGCAGGAATGGCAGAGCGTGTTCAGGGGTGCGTAGAGTTTTCTTCCTCTTTGTTTTTGTGAAGTGAAATATTTTCAATAAAAGATATTACAGAATCTCTTCCTCTCAGGTATCAGCAGCTCTACTGCACTCGGCTACAGATGGTGGAACAGGAAGTCATGCATGGACTAGGGGGAATTCTTCATGCAGATGTCATGTCATGTATGTAGGTGTGAAACAAAGAAAGAATATTGATCCGTTCTTGTCACTTTATTCCAGTAAAAGCTGGCATTCCAAACTACTGCAATAACTGTGCTTTTTATTTCTTTCTTTATTTTCAAATAATGCAACAGAGAGCGGGAAAGTGTGATTTTTTTTATCATCTACTCTTTGTCAAACACCAAAATCCAATAATGCTTTATAATGCACTGCTAAAGGGGCTGTCACATTGGGGGATTAAAGAATTAGTCAGTCTTCCCCTAAGGCTCATGCGCTCTATCTACCACTTGGTGGCAGCACAGGCACAGCTTTGACAGTCCAGTCTCAGGCTTGTTGCCGTGGATGAGTGGGGAGGCTGAGGGCCCCACCGTAAACACTGGTGTGTGTGTGTGTGTGTGTGTGGCCCTCAGCGGGTCCTGCCAACCGGATCGTCCTGCAACCCATCAAGCTCAGCTGCCCGCTTTGAAGCTGCTGAGACTGTGCTCTGTCCTCCCACACAAGGAGAGCGGATTCTTTTCCCTTACACTGCGCAGATGTAGCGAGGTGAGGCCGGCCCAGTGATCATGCGAGATATCATAATTCTCTCTAAGGAGACATTTCGGTGCAAGTTCCTGTTTTCAACTTCATCCCTGAAACAGTGCTGTAACTTTGCTTTATGTATCCACGAGGCCTCATAGCGCGAGCTCCTGCTGTTCTGTGAGGCGCTTTGCGTCTGGAGTAATCACTCCTGTAGGAAGTAGCTTTGCGGGGACATTTGAATGAAAAATCCTTGTAAAACTGCATCTGGATTGTGTTTTTCCAATACGATCCTGCCTCAGTGCCACATGTGATGCTTAGTCAATACATTGAGGGCGCTCTTGCTCTTTCGTCACTTTCAGGGGCGCACGTTGGTGAGCATTTAGAGAGCTAGTGGTGGTGGAGGGGGTTCTTGTTCGGCGTTTGAAAGGAGGCAGAATAGAGTGCCAGGGAGTCCAAAGGTCCGAGTTAGGAGAGGGGATAAGGGGGGCCGAGACTCTAAAAGGAGGAGGAAAGAGGAGGTGCTGAAAGGGACTCGATACCGCCCCCGCCGACAAAGCCTGGAAGAATTGCGCTCCGTCAGTGCGCCCTGCCTGCCAGTCGGAGGATGGGGATTTTTTTTCTCCTTTCCATTCATCCATGCCCCTTTTTTCCCTCCTCCTCCTCCTCTCAAACAAGCCAGTCGGTCTGTCAATGTGCTGCGAGCGTTAGGACGAGTCAAAGCAGTGGGATTTTGAGGCAGAGAGACGGAGGAGATAACGAATGAAGCGCTTTTCCATGACCGAGAAGCGACGCGTCCTGCTCTCCAAATGATGCGCCGCATCAGATAATTTCCAGCCGGGACTGATGCTCACAACTCGCATCTTATTATTATTAATATTATTTTTTCCTTTCTATCACTTCAAAACTTTCACGTTGGCCTGTGTGTGACATTATTAGAGTGGAGATGCTTTTCTAGCGCTTTGATTTATTCCTCTCAGTTTCTTTGAATTGATTCTTGGATTTATCGTCGATTTCGGATCTTTTTTATGATTATTATTTTTCAGCGTGTCTATTAAGGATTTACAACCCGTGTGTGTTTGCTTTTGATTCCATAAAGAGGCCACTAAGGATTGTAACGCGCACTGACTGAACCCGCCGAGCATCAACACGTCTTTATGAGGATGGAGCTGTGGACACGAGTAACATCTTTTCCGTTTTAAACGTTTCACCCTCACACTTTTGACCTGGTTTTGATTGCGCCCTTCTGCCACACTGACAGTATTTCTTTTCCCCGGTTCCTCTCTGATATGCTGGAAGCTAGATATTCTTGCGAGGAAACAAGGTAATGGGAGAGAAATCGCACAGAGTCGGCACAGAGAACAAGGGAACATTGTTCGGAAAAAAAGACAATCAGGGCGCACCGAAAGGCTACAGAGTTAGAGGCTGGGTGGCAATCATTTTTTCTTTTAAATATTTTTGATTCCGTGGAGTTACCTTTCAGCCGAGGAGCGCAGTTTTTGGAGAAATAAAAGGGAAGGACAGATTAACGAGGAAAGTCATGGGATTGGCACAGAATTAGTGCAACTGTGGACGCGCAGAAATCGTTTTTTGGACACCCAGACGCGCGGATTGAACAAGTTTCTTTTCCCCCTCGCACATTTCAGTGCGTGTGCTGTGATCGCTTACAATCGGCCACATTTCGGATCCATGAGGTTGTGCAGAGCGGGCTTTGGCTTCACACTTTGACTGTCTTCTACCTATAGCCTGATCGGCTGTAGCCGCGCATCTATTGTTTTGAGAGAGTCCCCCCTCGTGTGCAACAGCATCGAAACCGCAGAAAAGATCTTGCTTTTAAATGGGGCCGCATATGCTGGGTGTCAGGGTTGAGATGGCGTGTCGAAGAAGTGGGAATGGATTGGGGATCCTGCTGGTATTCTTACTGGATTTACTGGGGACGACAGCCAGCAACCTGGAGCCCATCTACTGGAATTCCCTGAACGAAAGGTAAGAGCGCTCGCAGACCTCACAGTTTCACTGGCTGACTTAATTGTAGGGTTGATCTTGAAGTTCTCCAAGCATGCTTGGGGAAAACTGATTTTTTTGTGGTTTCATTGCATGCGACGGGAGAATCATGAAACGTTTTATGAACGCAAGAAACTGAGTGCACTGCTGAGCGGTAATGCGACATGACACAGGCGATAAAGAAGAAAATAAAGTTGGATAAAGGCAGAAATTCACCACAAAGTGCAGGCCTAACTCGGAATATTGATTTTTTTTTCTGTGAAGGCTGCCATTCTGACAGCTTGTTGGAGTGTCTGTAGAAAAGCACCTTCATCACCGTCTGTTGGATAAGGTCAGAAATTCGTAACAGAGTGCAGGCCTACAGCAGACTGCCCGTCTTACCGACACTGCTGATTTTTCTCAGTCAGGGTTCCTTTTGGACAGTTTTTTGCGGTATCTAAAGAAGAAAAAAATAAGACTATTTCGTCATTGTTGTATTCACTCTCAGTATTGTTTGCTCAGTCTAAACTGTGATCTGATAAATGCTGCTGCTCTGCATTTGTCACACTGATTATTGTTCCTGGTCCAGCTGCAGCGCCTCTAAAAGTCCCCGTGAGCTCTAAGGCCGTAGATGGAAGCTGTGTGTGTAGGATGATAAAGACTTGTGTGATGCTCTAATTGCTGTTGCTGGATGACCTTGATTAAAGTCCAGGGTAGCACTCCCTTCCTCCTTTTGGACCTCAGGCCTGTCAAACACCCAGTCTGCACACTTTGCCCGAGCTCATTTGCATTTTCTTTCCTCCTCCTTTTCCTCACGGAGAAGGTGTCAGGCATTAGCTGAGGAAATGCCATTTTAAACACCTCTCTGCTGTCCAGCCTTAATGACTGACACCACTTTTCTCACACCTCTGCCAATTTCCCTGTGTCTGAATGGACCTGCTGGCTGTGAGGAGGAGGAGGTGGTGGTGGAAGAGGGGAGGTGGAGAATAACAAGGCGGCTTGTATGGAAGGGAAAAGAGGGGAGTTTTTTTTTTTCCTTCAGTGACACAAAGATTCATTTCTGCAAATCCTAGCTACATTTCTGTTGGCAAATTGGAACAATGATATTTTGCAGCTTGATAAACACTTCTGTGCAGGCTATCAGCATGGAGCACCGCTCCAGAATAGCTCCCGTTTCTTCTAAGTACACTTTATAGAAGGGAGAAAAAAAAACACAAGAGAAAATTGACTCACTTATGCCAACCGGGCCCCCCCCGAGACAGCTTTAACTCACACCCATGCCAGGGGCTTTTTCAGAGACTAACAGGTTTTTAATGCGTCCGTGCGCTGGAGGCTACGTCCTGCCCAGTTTCTCCACTTCTCCACAGATGTGACTGTGCGTGGGCCCCTGCTGTGGAGCCAGGCATGAAGCCCTTAATGAGGGCTTTTTGTCAGCAGTGGGTGGATTCGCCCAACAGGGAGTAGAGTTGGACACGGGAGGGTAATTTCCACAGAGAAGCTCACAGCCTGGGCTTTTGAAGCCTTACAGGTGATTCCACGCTATTGTCTCCTAATGGAGTTTAGTGTTAGGTGGGTGTTAGGGCTCAGTGAATGGGCCCGGCTCGCAATTAGACGGGCGGTGGCTTTGACGCCACACTCTGCTGTCATTTCCACAGATTTGCTCGCTCATATATCCATCCAAAATACAAAAAGCCCTTTTCTTTTTATACTATGAAGCTTATTCACGAAGCTTACTATTCATAGTTAATCAGCTTAGTCATTCCTCCAGTTTATTTTCTTGGCCCTTTTTCATGCTGTCGTGTACTTGTTTCTCCTTGCTCTCTACGTGACATGAGCAGTACTCTAGTATCAGCTGCCTCGGGGCAGAATAGGTTTTGGCCCTGGGCTGAAATATGTTAAGAGCCCGCTGCTTGTCTAAATAGTCTGCTTCTTCCAAGGACACGCTTCTGGAAGACACACACACACACAGGTGGTTTCAGAAATGAGGTGAAAAGTAAGCAGAAGCTGCAGCAATCAGAGCACAGGTATGGTTCACATCTTGTCTGTGTAGTAAATGGGGTGTCACATTGTTAACCTCTGGACCTTTGCTGCGTATGCCTCTTTGAAGTTTGGACCATCCACTTGCAGCTTCCCCTCCACCTCTCCTCCCATCTTTTCTTCCATCCTCTGTCTTATATTCTCTCCTTCTCACGCCTCAGTATCCACTGCTTCTCTTTTTTTTCTGCAGGGATGCATAAATTCTAATATCAGCCTAATATCAGTAGTGCAGGTATGGACTGATACCAGCCTAGCAAACTGTGATATTGGCACCTTGTTTTTTTTGCAATTATCATCTGTGCCACATCATTTGTGAGCTGGCTAAGTGTTCCAACTGAAAGCTTTAAATCAGGGCAGTTGTGCAATTTTGTTGTTTCCCTTGGAATAAACAAGGAGGTAAACTAACGGGGAAAAACATGGTGGATTGTTTTAAACATCCATATTGGCCTGGAATTTTACAATCAAAGCATCTCTTCTCATTCCCCCCCTCTTCTGTCCCTCTATTATTCTCTCCCTCTTTTCCCTACTGTCACTCTCCGTCTGTCTCTATCTCTTGCACCCCCGCCCCACCACCACCACCACCTCGGTGCAGTGACCAGATGTAGCAAATTGGAAACATGTGTCACATCCAGCCGCTAATTATGACGCTACAGCAGCCACAGACGCACCCAAAAAATGTGCGAGGGATGACAGAGGTGAGGAGGAAAAGCAGGCATCTGTGGGTGCTTTTGAGGGAGGATGGGAGGGGGGTGGGTGCTCAGCTGCCAGATTAATTCCTTAAATATAATATCAGAATGCACCAGGACATCCACCTTTTTTTATAGACCCCTCCACGGGTTGATGCTACCACAGCCTGACAAGAAGCCTTCCTGGAGGAATATAAACAGAGACAGGTGCTGGGAGGTGAAAGAGAAACACCGAGCGGCGGGGAGAGCAGAGTGGGGGGTGGAGACGGCCCTAACCCTAAGTAAATCAATACCAGTTAAGTCTCAAGTGCCAATACAGGTTCTGCTTGAGGAAGAGGGAACTGAACCAGAACGATCACCTTGGGAAGAGCTCCTCCTCAGACATATATTATCCTTATCTCAGCATCTCGTATTATCGGCCTTACACGGCCACCCTAATGAAAGATCGAAACTTACATTACTGCTTGGGAGTTCGGGTGGGGGGAGGGGTGAAGATGGCGTGGCTGGCAGGAGGGTGGCAGGTGACCCAAACACACACACATGCACAGAGAGACGAGGATGTTGGCTTCGGTCACTCATCTGATCATGACATATGGACTTTTGTAGTTTCTGGAACCTTTTTGCAAGTCTGATTTCAGCGTCTGTTCTTAATGCCAAAAAAAGCGCTCATTCACCCCTCCTTTACTCGCACTCTCTCCCTTTTTTCCTCTCCTCTTTACCCACTTTCGTAAACGGCTGTAGATTATTGTAAATGGCTGCTGAGGGTGGGCGTCTCCCGGTTTGCTGCTTGCGGTGACTTGTAATACAACTATTCCCCCTAAGATCCACATTAAAATTTAATCCCCCTCCACCCCACCACCGCCACCCTTCCCGTTTCTCAATAATTCATTAATCGTTGGCTAATTGGCGCCGGATAAAAGACTAGCTAACTAGGCTAAGTGTTTCAACTGCAAAAAAAAAAAAAAAAAAAAAGCCGCCAGAGAGAGAGAGACTGGGGGAGTCACCGCCACAAATGTGTTTTTGGTTGAGGAGGTTATTCTTATTATGGAATAGGTGTTAGTAGGTCATATCACGGGAGCAGCATTCCAGCACCCGTTTACAGATTGTTTGTATATTTAAAAGCCCACACCCGTTTACACCCATCCTGTAGGTTTTGACTTCATGAATAATTCATGCTCGGAGGCCTTTTTCCGGGCTGTGTGGGTAAGGAAGCAGGAGCCTGGTAAGCCTACACGTATCCTTGGGCGAAATGATTAGACAATATCCACTGGGTATAGCGTTTTTTTATTTTTCTTATTTTTAGGAAGAAGTGCAGAAAAAAAAGGAATGTGGCCGAGAGAGGAGGCGAGATCAAAATGATATGGACCGTATTGCTCGAGTTAAACCAACGGGCAGCAGCCCTCCCCCCCCCCCCCCCCCCACCGCCTTGTTTCCTCGCTCCCTTGCTCTCTCTCTCTCTTCCTACCGTCACTCTTCCCCCTCGGTGAAAAAAAGGAGTGTGTGTAAGTTTACGAGCTGAGAGCAACAGGAGCTGTGAAAAGAGCTTTCAGCTGATGTGGCAGAATGGAAAGGCCAGGGGAAGGAGAAAAAGGAGGCAGCCAATCCGACCAGAGGCAGCAATCTTTTCTCCTTTTCCGTCTTTCCTTCTTCCTTTGTTTGGGCAGATGGACACACAGGTAAGGGGTTTGACTATGAAAACACAGACATGCAAACAGACGTATCTATTGCGTCTGCATACACACACATATTATACACAAATGAGCCTCGGGAGGCTCGACCTCCTCCTCCCCCCATCACTGTTGGACACATGTGTAAAGAGTGTGTGGTCCTAATCTATCTCCTTTGTAGCGTGTGCTAGTGAGCAATAAACACACACCTTTACCACTAGACTAGACAGGAGGGCAGATGTGCGCACACACACAGTAGAGGTGAGGAAACTGGCACGTGTCACGGGCTGTTGTTCCACTCGGAATTTATTCATTATTTTATCACTCGATTATAAGTTTATTTGGCAGGGGCAGTGCACATTCATCAACATCATAACAGCTATAAAGCGCTGTTGTAAATATGCTGGGGTTAGCTAAAGAACTAATTTACTTCCCCGGTCCCTTGGACTTTTTCGAAGTGACTTTGGGATTTTTGGTAATTGTTAAAAGTGCTGATGATTGGGATGAAGGAGATAAAAAGCGTGCGGCTGGCTGGGCTGGTTGAAAAATGTTGGAACACATGAAAAAACAAGCAACTTTCTTCCCTGCAAGCATTCACAAAAACACACAGACA